GGTGCCAGAGCACTGGGACAGGCTGCTCAGAGAGGGTGTGGAGTCTCCTTTTCTGGAGAGATTCCAAACCCACCTGGACACAAACCTGTGCATCCTGCTCTAGATGTACCTGCTTTGGCAGGGGGCTTGGACTAGATGATCTCCAGAGGTCCCTTCCAACCCCACCATTCTGTGATTCTGTGGAAACAGTGAGTAAAAGAGTGCTAATAACTGACCCAAGGTACTTTTCTTCAGTTAGGAGAGACAACTCCTCCTCCTTTATACATAGAATTTCAAACTAGAATGTCACACCTATAGTTTACGGCTGCAATTTCAGGAGCAGTTTTTGTTGTTGTGTATTGTTCTCGATAAGCCTGGGTTGCTGAAAGAACCTGAAACACTATATTAGGTTGCTGTTTTAAGGACAAAAAAAAAAATCCACCTCGTGGAAATGTCCTCTTCACAGAATTTTGAATCTTTGTCTGCTGAGCAGAGCTTTAGGAGTTGTGTGCTGAGCAGACAAACTATCAGGACACAGCACCGTGCTGAAGAACTCATTTATCTTGCTTTAGAAATGACACAGGAACTAAATCTGCCCTCACTTTACATCGCTGACTTTTATGGGACTACCCTACTGTAACACAAGGGCAGACACAACCTAAAAAATGTAGATATCTCAAGTTATAACTAATCAAAAGCACTTATACATTAAATAAGCTGCTACAGAAAGCTACAGATTCTGAGAAATTTGCAGTCCAAACTGGACCTTCTGTAGCTTGGCTCTCACTAAGGCTTAAATCATCAGCAGATGTGAACTAAGTGGAAATAAAACCACTGAAATATAGGAAAAAAATCCACTGATAACAAGCTGCTGAGAAACAGGATAGTATCTCACAAATACAGGGTGATCAAGCATTCAAACATGAAAATTAAGTCATATAATGTAAGAAAAAAAAGCTTCTCTACACAGCTAAGGGTCCCGGCAGCCAGGGAAGCCAAACCCTGGTTGGGAACGCCGCAGCACGCCCGGCCTTCCAACTAGGGCACCCACAGAGCTGCTGGGAACTGTGGGCACACAGGTCCCTTTGGGGCAGGTCAGACACCAGAAATACTTCAAGGACATTCTGGAGCCCCAAGGGTGTTATTACAGTTTGTATAAAATATCTTTAAGCAAAGCGCTTAAAGAAATAAAATAGGTCAACGCCCTCAGAGGTTGAACAGTGATAACAAAACAAAACAAGTTCCTCATTGACCTAAGGCATCCTGGCACAGCCTGGGAGAGAATCCATCCCAGGGAAGAGGCACAAAGTTCAGCAAAATCCCTTTACAGAGTTACACGTTCACAGATTGACCCTTCAGATCAGTTGTCAGAGCCATCTTCTAGTTCATTATCCTGATCCAGGTTGGACGGGAATCCTCCAAAAATGCACATTCTCAGAGTTTGAAAGTATTTCTAAAATAACCCTGCCTTGTATTATTAAGCAGATAAATATTACAACTCCTGCTAATGGTTTTGTTTGCCTGGAATCAGAATAGTACAGTTAATAAAAACCATAAACACCTTCCTTGGGTTAAAAGAGAACAAAACCACCCAGAACTTCAGCAACAGAACTCAGGTAATTCTGTAATTCTTGATCTGAGCAGTAACTACCTGGCACTGTGCTGCTTCTTGAAGGCACACAGGCTCTTTAGGAGCACACAGCTGCTCTGTACAAACAAACAAACCAAAAATTGCTTGATAAGGAAACTGCCTTTTCCTTATTTCATCCTTACAGCCCTTACTTCTCCTTTACTGTTGGTGTAGTGACCTCTGAGTTGCCTGGTCAGTCCCGAGGACAGGGATAGGGCACATCCATGCCTCTGCAAAGCACAAGGGCTGGCTGTGCCTCTGAAATAATAACCAGGTGAGGGTGTTTCTTGGCTATAACAGACACTGTGCAAGCCAAGGGACACCAAACAAAGTTCAGTAGCTGGAACAACAATGTAATTTAAACAGGTTGTTAGATATGGATAGCCAGAGAGATCGCTATAGCCTGAAAGATTTGTACACCATGGGTGTAATCCCTTTGTTACCCAAGTGTTCAGTGGTCTTGAGCAAGCTCTGTGTCACCTAGAAGATGAGCCAGTACCTAAACCTTCAAGTTGCTGGGAGAGGGGAGAGGTGTGGTGAGCACACGCCGTATCACAGCCGGTCAGCGGGGCGATGGTACAGCGGTCACAGGACTGATAAGCAAAACACTCGTGGGGTTTGGAAGGGTGGTTTCTCCCAGATAACAGGCTCAGAGCAGGCAGGAGTCGAGCTTCCAGTTTTGATCCGGTTAAATGTTGACGTACATGCCCACGAGCACTGCAGGACACAGGACTTCCCTTCAGTTCTCCTTTCATGCTTTATAGAAAGCTTTTCGCCCTCACAGTCAGCCCATGTGCAGCAGCTGGCTACCCAGAGTGAAACCATGGAAAACTTCCTGAGCAACCACAGCACAAACTGGGAATCACCTTCTGCCATTTGATAGACAGGTTTTCTGGCTAGAGCTCTGAAACAGAGGCAAATCAGGCAAATGGGAAAGAAGTGGAGACACCACAGTCCAATACAAAATCAAGGAGGAGTTGGCATCTTAGGGAGCTGAGAAGGGGGAGAGGGAGGGAAGGGAACGGAAGATACACACAAGCAGCTACAGAGGGAGAACGTTTTGCTAAGGGCAGAGAATCATTCCCAACCTCTAATGTTTCCGATACAGGACACATGCATAATAGATACGGCATCAGTAAGAGCATTTTCATTTCAGTTTTCCCATTATGGGATGTATTTACGAGCAGGCGTTCCAGTGCCTGTGCCAGCACAGTCCTCCCTGACAGGATGTCTGTTTATTCAGGGAACTGCTCATTCCACCAGTTCACTAGGCAGGGTTCTCACTGGTCATTAGATGCTAATGCTCTCAGCAGATTTCACTTGGAACAGCCACATCCAGAGCAGAAACCAGAACTTCTTTGTTAAATCAGATGGCAGAAATCTCATCGCTGTCAAATGCTGTTACTAGATCAGCTACGTCCTCAGAGCCCTTTTGTCAGCTCTACAAACATGTTTTACCAGTGCTTAAATTCTTCATTTTCTACCCTCCCTCTAATCCAGATCGCACCTTCAAGAGGTCTCTTTTAAAAAGCCAGGAGTTTCACTCGAAATGTTTCCCACTTAAACTCCCCAAGGACACCAAGAGAACGTGCTGCTCTCTTGGCCACAGTTTAACCGTTTCTATGATTTTCTGCAGTGTAGCAGCAAGGAATTAAAACCTGGTACAGGTAAAAAAACAATGCATTCATGTCTCTATTTTGTGCTCCGTACACATCCAACTGGTCTGCATGGAAAGTAATTCCCATTGTTCAAATCTGTTTTTCTAATAGAGATGCCACAGGTGGAGGTATGAAGGTGTGACAACAGAGTTTGTTAATTCACAGAATCACAGAATGGTGGTGGTTGGAAGGGACCTCTGGAGATCATCTAGTCCAACCCTCCTGCCAAAGCAGGTTCACCTACAGCAGGTTGCACAGGATCACATCCAGGTGGGTTTGGAATCTCTCCAGAGAAGGAGACTCCACAACCTCTCTGGGTAGCCTGTTCCAGGGCTCTGACACCCTCATAGTAAAGAAGTTCTTCCTCATCTTCAGCTGGAACTTCCTGTGTTCCAGTTTGTGCCTGTTGCTCTTTGTCCTGTCACTGGGCACCATGGAGAAGTATGTGGCCCCAACCTCTCCACACCCACCCTTTAGGTATTGATCAGCTTTGATGAGATCCCCTCTCAGTCTGCTCTTCTCCAGGCTAAACAGACCCAGCTCTCTCAGTCTTTCTAATTAAGCAGTTTAATAACGATGCCGCTGTCTGCTGGATTTTATATTTGCTTTATTACCACTAGAGGGAGAAGGTAACTCATCGTAACTCATCGAAGGTAACTCAACAACAAAATAAAAACCTCCAAGGCAATTCACAATAAAACTGCCTTTATTAGAGACCTGAAATCCTCCTTTCCCTATACCAGGCTCACTGGGAGCAGAGAAATTAAGTGCTAGTGGCCAATCCATGCTGCTGCCAAGCCCTTTGGAAAAGCACTGGTGACTGCGAAGCTGGAAAAGTTTTCCAGAATGCATTGAGCATAGAATGGACTGTTCATTGTTGACTCAAGCTTATGGAGTTAATAAATCTGAGCCATACACTGTACGCAGTGATTACTGAATTAATAAATTGTTTTCTCGCTGTTCCACGATTCCCATCAAAGGTCTGAAAGACAACTAAGAAAAGCAAAGTCATTCATTGCGAAGGAGCCCACATGCACATACCAAAGTGTTTTTAAGTGTCCACAAAGTGTAAAGACTGAAAACTGCTGTTGCAGAGAGAGCACAGAGCAAGTAGCTGCCTCACTCATCCAGCTACTTACAACAGGGCGGTAAATTAACTCAAATAAATATGTTTTAACTGAAATGTTAATCAAAATCCTAATGAAATGCCTACAGTGAATGCAAAATTCAGATTAATTTCCTTCAGCTCACTGAAGCCAACATTCGGTTGCTTTAAGAGATATGACCTGTAACCTGAAACTGCTGAGCACCAAATTAGGGCATTTTATGACATTTTGCCAGTGGTTACACACAAAGTTGTACTGCCCAGTTTATCCCGGTTATGTAACCAACTGGCAGCTCCTCTGCTGCCAGAGCGGGGACGCGACAGTAACCGTTGGCTATTGCAGCTCTGCCTTTCCCTTCCTTGCCTGTGACCGGACTTTCGAATCTGGACTTCAGAGAAAAGTCTACCAGAATCAATTCAAAGAGCTGAATACACTTCAAGAGGAACACAGCAAGTACGCAAGTGCAGCCCTGCCTGAATTTCAAGGGCTCTGATACACAGAAGAAATAGTTCTGCTGAATTTCGAGGGCTCTGATACACAGAAGAAAGAGTTCTGCTGAATTTCAAGGGCTCTGATACACAGAAGAAATAGTTTTGCTCAGGACAGATCCTCTGCCCCACGTTAGAAATGACAGAGGCCAGCGTCTTCTTCCTCCGTGCCTGCCTCGCGCTGCTCGCCATGCCCATCTACCTGCTATGGTTCCTGGGCATATGGGAGCCTTTCTGTAAGAAAGTATTTTTTCCTTTCTGCTTAGAGAAGATTTCTTCAATCCATGAAAAGAAAACAAAGAAGCAGAAGCAGGAGCTATTTCGTAATCTATCTGACTTCAAGAGCCCCTCAGGAGAGCTGAAGCTGCTGGAGATTGGGACCGGCTTCGGTGCTAACTTCCAGTTCTACCCCCCAGGCTGTACAATCACGTGCACTGATGTAAATCCCCACTTCCAGCAAGGCCTTTTGAAAAACATGAACAAGAACCAGCACATTCACTATGAGCGTTTCCTAGTAGCTGCAGGAGAAGATCTGCACCAGGTGCCCAGCGGTTCTGTGGACGCCGTCATCTGCACCTTGGTCCTCTGCTCTGTGCGCAACGTGAACGGCACCCTGAAGGAGGTACTGCGAGTGCTCAGACCGGTGAGTAGCTGAATAACAAGTTTTGTTTTCACCTTTATCATCTATTCCAGAGGCACTGTGCCAAGAGAAAAGAAAAAAAACAAAAAAAACCCCATAAAGTTGTTTTTCAGCTGGCATTGCAAACCAGACCCAGTAAAAAAAAAAAAACCCATAAAGTTGTTTTTCAGCTTGCATTGCAAACCAGACCCAGGTTCCTTCCCTAGTTAAATCAGATTTACAGCCACTCTGCTAAATGGTGCAAAGCAGTAGTGGCAACAATACTGGTCAGTCTGTCCTGTTCTTAAAAGTAAAACCCTAAAAACAACGTAGTCAGGTAACTAGAACCACCACTAATTTTGGAAGTAGTTACAGTATTTAGTTTAAAGCAGAACTGGTTCCTGTGGTGTTGTCTCTCCCCACACACACTAGATTCTCTTTGGGTGAGAAGCTCTCTGACTAAGACTTAAAGTCTATATTTAAATAAACTGCTGTAGCCTCTTAGAAGCGGGGCTGATCTACCTGTATGACTAAAAGTCTAATTAAATGCCTTCATTCCCTGTAGTACACTAATCAAGCTAAAGATTAAAAGAAGCTGTTTTGTTGGGGTATTTTTGCAAGAGACTTTCAGCCTTTAAAATGGCACTTTCAAGACAATCCTCTGGGTTGTCAAAAACTGTTGAGTTTGTGCAGGATTTATATATTTCTCTTAGTTTCCTTGGAAAAAAAATGACATACTAGGAACTGCAGTCGAAACAAAAAGACCACAAACTATTGCTCTAATAAGAGGGACCAAATAAGTACATCCTTTGTGCTTTCTGAATCGGCATTCTGAATCTCTGCAAGTTTCCTGCTAACAGTAATTCCAGCTGACACCACAAAAGCGAAAAGCAGGCAGGGAAAGGGTGGGAGAATACTGATGAGCGAGCAAACTGCACTCACTCTGTATCTGAAAGGAGGTGGGATGGAGGGAGAAGTTCAACGTAACCCCAGTGCCTGCTGCTGCTCTGTAAAATGACTTTGTTTTCCCCAGGGAGGTGCCTTCTATTTCTTAGAGCACGTGGCCGCGGATCATTCCAGCTGGAAGTATTTTTGGCAGCAGGTCTGTTATCCGACTTGGAAACTTCTCTTTGATGGATGCTGCCTAACGAGAGAGATATGGAAGAATCTCGAACAGGCCAACTTCTCGGAGCTGAAATTACAACACATAAGCATAGTGCTGCCCTGGACGCCCATTCAGCCTCACATCATCGGGTACGCTGTTAAATAACTCACACCACACTGCCGGGCCTTCTCCCCTGCCCCCCCAGAAATTCCTTGACGTAACCAATGCAAACAACACAGCATAGGCTAATCCAGACCTCCAAAAGTAGGTAATAAGGTGAAGGACTTAAACTGCATTTCTGATTCAAGCGTCAAACGAGAAGATAGGGTCAGTTTTCTAAAAACCTTTGAAGCACTCGCACTGCTGACCGTGCCTCACCGAACACCAGCGCAGCCTATGGAAGATCCCAGGAGGAGGCTGCAGAATAGCTCAGCAGGCAGAAAAAAAGATATATTAACTCAAGGGAACTTCTGCCTACGTCTGGTTAACTCTGGGAAATGTTTCCTTCAGGTGTTCTCCACGTTGGTGTGCTGGTTTTGGCTGGGACAGAGTTAAATTTCTTCCTTGTAGCTGGTACTGGGCTGGTTTGGATTTGTGCCGAAAGCAGCGTCGATAACACCAGGATGTTTTAGATTTGTGCCGAAAACAGTGTCAATAACACCGGGATGTTTTAGTTATTGCTGAGCAGGGATCACACAGAGTCAAAGCCTTTTCTTTTCCTCACCCCACCTCACCAGCAAACAGCCTGGGGTGCACAAGGAGTTGGAGGGGACACAGCCAGGACAGCTGTCCCCAACTCAGCAGAGGGACACTCCAGACCATATGGCATCATGTTCAGCATATAAAACTGGGGAAGAAGAAGGAAGGGAGGGATGTTTGGAATGATGGGGTTTTGTCTTCCCAAGTAACCGTTACGCGTGATGGAGCCCTGCTGTCCTGGAGACGGCTCAACACCTGCTGCCCATGGGAAACAGTGAATGAATTCCTTGTTTTGCTTTGCTTGCTTTTGTTTTACCTAGTAAACTGTTTTTATCTCAACCCATGAGTTTTCTCACTTTTACTCTTCCCATTCTCTGCCCCATCCCACTGTGAGGGGCGTGAGCGAGCGAGTGGCTGCCTGGGGTTGAGTTGGCGCTGGGGTTACACCATGACAGCTGGGAAGCAGTGGAGCTGGGCTCAACCCACTCCCCTCGCTCCATCACAGCTCTTCACATTCCAGCCTCACAGAACGAGCAGATGTAAACTCCTAACATCAAACTTTTGCTCAACCACAAGTATTTCTTTACAAAGGACGGGGGTGCGAGGGCAGGCACACACCCCACCCCC